GGTAATTAGCACCAATTAACATATCTGTCAATGTGACACATTTATCTGTCCCATTAGAACTAAGGGATAATTAGTATGAATTAATTAATCATTTTATTACAATTGATAAATGGAACGTGACTATTAGGGTTAATTAATTTTTTACAGAACTCTGATGGATAATTTATAATTAACAAATTGGTATATCATATAATTCCAAATTTTAGTCGGTGCATTAATTAATTAACTTGAACAATAATTCAATTGATTAGTTACAATGATGGTATAGCAAACAAATCGTTTTTGTGAGGGGCGAGGAAGGGAAATTTCAGGTCATTTCCGATTTTTCAGACGTGGAGCAGAAGAAAAAGGGTTTAAGAAGATTAGGCGGTTAGGAAATAATACACTCTTCGGAGATCGGCATAGTATTTAATTTGAATATTGTTGCTTTGGCTTCTGTATTTTTATTATCGTTCGTGTGCGAAGAAAAAATTGATATTGTCAATTGGTGTAGTGCCGGTAACAGTTTTAAGGATTAAAATATAATTAATATGATAGCCAGATCTTCATTTGTTTTAAGAAGTTATTTTGGTTGCATAAAATTAGGTGCCCTTCAGAAGAAATGTAATTTAAAAGTAGGTATAGGGAAATGCACATAAATCCCTATGTCTACTTCTTAATTAATATCACGTTTTAATATTGTAGCATACGCAACACGTCATACGTGTATTGTGTATTGCCTACTTTTAATTTGAATTTTCGATGCAACATGGCGGCTGAGCTATTATTGTCGCCACTGTCTCTCTAGAGTCACTGTAGCATGAACTGTCTCTCATTAGATAATTAATATGATGCGTCAATTAGTGCTAATTGGCAAGGCAGATATTTCTAATTGACCGTCAAATTGTCAATTAGCCATAATTGGGTTATTTAATATTTTTTTAAATAAAAAAGCTACACTATATTGAATTGAAATTGTTTTTTTTTAAATTAAGTTTTTCTTCTGTGATTTTCAGTGTATCTCTGCTATAAGTGATGATAGAAAATTCTCTGCTGGTATGAACACATAAGTAACAAACCGTTAACATTTTGTTTTCAGTTTGCAGCGATGACATGCTACACAAGCTGAAAGGGCTAACCGTTCTCAACGAAAATGAAAGGTACGAAGCGGTGCGCCACTGTCGATACGTCGACGAGGTCGTCAGAGACGCCCCCTGGGTGGTCACGGACGACTTCTTAGAGGCGCACAAGATCGATTTCGTCGCGCACGACGATTTGCCGTACGCGTGCGGCGACACCTCCGACATCTACGCGACCTTAAAGGCGAAAGGCATGTTTCTGGCGACGAACCGAACTGAAGGCGTTTCCACGTCGGAGATCGTCGCGCGTATAGTTCGCGATTACGACGAGTACGCGCGGCGCAATCTCGAGCGCGGTTACTCGGCGAAGGATTTAAATATCTCCTACCTGAAGGAGAAGCGAATTCGATTCAAACGAAAAATGCACGAACTGAGAGACAAGGGGAAGAACGTCATCGGCAGCATCGGCGAGAGGACGGACGATATGATCTCGAAATGGGAAGAAAAATCCAAGGATTTCGTCGAAAGCTTCCTCGGGCGGTTCGGCAAAGAGAAATTGACGAATATTTGGAAGGAGTCGAAGAATAAAATTTTAAACGCATTCAGTCCGCCCGGATCGCCGGGGAATAGCACGGATAGTTCTGTTAATGGCGATATTTCAGAAGATGAAGAGTATAAAGTTGCTCCGAAGGCGAAACGAGCACGAATTTATTCTTAACTACATTTAATTATGCGTTGTTAATGAACGTTAATAAATAGCGCTGAAGGTTAGGGTTTCAGTTCCATACTTCTTAATTGGAGAATTTATCAGGCGTCTGGCAGTGTTGCCATATTTATGAGAATTTAGCGTACTGAATAAAGTCTAAAGATGTGAGGGAGTTTTGTTTGCTGTTCATGAACCCGCCCCCTTTGCATTTGGTAGCCAGAAGAGACCTTGCACAATTTTCAGGTATATTTTCGACTGTCCGTCGGTGAAACTATGTTTGAAATTTTTGTTTCTGTTATTATTTACATATCCTTTTAAATGCAATTGTTTTATTTTGTATTTCCCTTGTAAATCTCCCCTTAATCCTTTGTAAATTACATGCGAACATGTTGTTTAATAATTTGTCACCTCTAAAAAGAGAATAAGGGGTAGTGTACCTGTACACCTCTTAATTGAACACCCCCTGGTACAGCTGCCTTAGCAAACTGTAATAAAATGTGATGTTTTCATGTTTAACATACCTTAACTGCCTGTCATCAGTGTGTTTTTTTAAAATTCCGGAATGTGACATTCCAGAATTACATTGGAATCGCCGTTAGTAATTTTTTTATTATGGAATGTGACTTTTTTAAAATTATTCCGGAATGTTGCTTTTTTATCATTCCGGAATTACATTGGAATCGCCTTTTTTAATTTTTTTATTACGTGACGCAGCTTTTTTTTAAAAATTCCGGAATTTTTAATTTTTTTTGATTCCGGAATGTGGCTTTTTATCATTCCGGAATTACAATGGAATCGCCTTTTTATTTATTTATTTATTTTGCCTTTATTTTTGAGTGGGCGGGGTTTCAGCCAAGGCTGCTCTACCAACCCAACCCACTATACATTTACAAATATCCATGCCCGAACCCGGATTCGAACCAGGGACCCTAGCACCACAGTCCAGTTTCAACTGAACTGCGCCACACGAGCCGGCCTTTTTCATTTTGTTATTACGGAATGTGGCTTTTTAAAAAATTATTCCGGAATGTTGCTTTTTTGTCATTCCGGAATTACATTGGAATCGCCTTTTTTAATTTTTTTGTTACGTACCGCAGCTTTTTTAAAAATTCGGGAGTTGGAATCGCTTTTTTAAATTTTTTTTTGACTCCGGAATGTGGCTTTTTATCATTCTGGAATTACAATGGAATCACCTTTTTAATTTTTTGTATTACGGAGTGTGGCTTTTTTTAAATCATTCTGGAATTATATCGGAATCGCTTTTTTCATAAATTTTTTTAACTTTCGGAGTGCATCCGAATGTGGCTTTTTTTAGAATCATTTCGAAATCACATCGGAATCGCCTTTTTTAATTTTTTATTACGTAACGCAGCTTTTTTAAAAATTCGGGAAATGGAATCGTTTTTTTTAATTTTTTTTTATTCCGGCATGTGGCTTTTTATCATTCCGGAATTACAATGGAATCGTCTTTTTAATTTTTTGTATTACGGAGTGTGGCTTTTTTTAAATCACTTTGGAATTATATCGGAATCGCTTTTTTTCATAAATTTTTTTAACTTTCAGAGTGCATCGGAATGTGACTTTTTTTTAAATCATTCCGAAATCGCATCGTGATAGCGTTTTTTAGTTAATTTATATTTTATTCCGGAATGTGGCTTTTTTAAATCATTTCGGAATTACATTGGAGTCGAAATGTTTTTGCCAAAATCCGGAATACTTTTTTTCATCTGAATGCTCTTTTGTTTTTTTTTCACTGGAATGTTTTTTATATATTTTTTGATTCTGGAACACATCGGAATGTTTTTTTAAAATTCCGGAATGTGGCTTTTTTGCCATTCCGGAGTTACATTAGAATTTTAATTTTTTTAAATTCCGGATTGTGGATTTTTTAAAAATCTCCGGAATTACATTGGAATCGCCTTTTTTAATTTTAATTTTTTAAATTCCGGAATGCAGAGGAATGTGGCCGTTTTAAATCATTCCGGAGTGCATCAAAATGTGACTATTTTATAATCATTCCGAAATTACATTGGAATCGCGTTTTTTAATTAATTTATGGCTTGAATTTTTGAATTATTCTGGAATGTGGCTTTTTAAATAATCATTCTGGAATTATATTGAAATTGCCTTTTTTAATTTTAAATTCTTTTTTCTTACGAAATGCATCTGAATGTCGATTTTTTAACATCATTCTGGAATGACATCGGAACTTGATTTGTATTTTATTCCTGAATGCATCGGAATGTGACTTTTTAATCTTTCCGGAATTACATTGGAATCGCCTTTTTTAATTTTAATTTTTTTAATTCCGGATGTCATCGGAATGTGGCCGTTTTAAATCATTCCGGAGTGCATCAAAATGTGACTATTTTATAAACATTCCGAAATTACATTGTAATCGCGTTTTTTATAATTAATTTATGGCTTGAATTTTTGGATTATTCTGGAATGTGGCTTTTTTCAAAATCATTCTGGAATTAACATTGAAATTGCCTTTTTTATTTTTAAATTCTTTTTTCTTGCGGAATGCATCTGAATGTGGATTTTTTAACATCATTCTGGAATTACATCGGAATCGCGTTTTTTTAATTTAATTTGTATTTTATTCCGGAATGCATAGGAATGTGACTTTTTACTCATTCCGGAATTCCATCGGAATCGCGGTTTTTTACTTAGTTTGTATTTTATTCCGGAATGCATCGGAATGTAGCTTTTTAATCTTTCCGGAATTACATCAGACTCGAACATAGATTATAGGGGTCCTGTTTGCTGAGAAAAATACTCAATTTTGGGACTTTCGGAATGTAATTCCCAAATAAAACATTTTGAATTCTTGCATTTTTTAGCGTCACCCATGGAAGCGAAACTTTGTTGAAATCCATCTGAGCGCACTATAACACCCGAAGGGAGGGTCTTAGCTTTTTGAAACTTGTTCTTTTGGGTCCCTAATCCTATTGGAGTTGGGGTCAAAAAGTGAACATATGACACACAGTGGGTATATGTTTTTGATGTACTTTTGAAACTGTAATATTTCTTGTTTGCAAAATTGCGCACAATTTTTTTGTTATAAATAATTTTGTGGTCCAATAACGATTAATTGACGGATGTTTGATAAATGTTATGTAGGTATAAATTCAATTATTCGTGGAATTGCGGTAGGTATCCAATTGTGGCCTCTAATAGGAAACAAATTACAGTATAATGTCAATTAGCTTGGCCTATTTTATGACGCATTACATTTTTGCGATCTAGTAATAAAATAAATTTGCCTAATGATGAGACACTTTTGGATTTACCCAAAAAATTACGGTTAATTGGGGGACCAATTGTTCCTTTGGGATTTGCGACGAAAATTATTAAAACGTGTCACAAAACAATGCGTTTAATGCTGTGATATGGCGACCTTCATTTAATAATTGGCAGGTTTATTGATTTCCGTCATTGATAGTTGAGATTGAATTTAGTTTTAGTGTGACTATGTAAATGCATTGTTTAAGTGTAAATGGAAATTCACGTGAGTGACATAGTGAAGGATCTTCAGGTGCGTCAATCCGCTAATTTTATGCGCATAATAAAAAAAGAAATTTCGTACGTGGGCATCAAGCCCAAAAATTTGATAGGAAACCATCCCTACTGGGAATAGTAGTAAATTTTCGTGATGGGTGTACCACAAAGGTCAAATTTAGGACCTCTGCTATTGCCCTGAAATTATGTCAAGCTAATCCTCTAGTTTTCTGAAGTGGCCCTATTATCTCTGTTGTTTCCTTATGTCGTTCCAGAGTTTTCTCTTGGTCGCTTAAAATTTTTTCCCCCAGAATTTCTCGATACCCTCAAAATTTTAATATTTTTCTACAATTTCCTCCAGGTTTGTCCTTTCCCTGTATTGTAGTCTTATTGAACTAAAGCTTAATGTTCACTAGCACTTTCACGTAAAAACTTTCAGCGTTTAGCTCAGTGGGTCTTGAACTTTTTCGACCTGGCATCTGTTTAGGCTTGCCTTATAAATAAGAGCAGATAAGGAGTTTTCCATACCTGAACTTCGCCTTTTGTGTGTATTTTTTTCTTTCTCCTTTATTCTTCTTGTTATGTTGATATTTTGTGTCCAATAAATTATTATTTATTAAAATTTCATTTACCTAGCGAAAAAACTCATTTTTGCAAAAAAAATTCCGTTCATAATAATTCCGCAACCCTTGCATTGATAAGACCTTTTTCGTGTAGCTGAGTGGAAAGTAAGATTCCAACAATTTGAGGTTTTGATATGCATATTATACATGATATACTCAAATACACCCAAAAATAAAGGCAAAAAAATAAATAAATAAATATACAATTTATTTTGGTTTTATTTGGTTTATTTTTAAGTGGGCGGGGTCTCCGCCAGAGGTCTACCAATCCAACCTACTATATATTTTTCCTGTTACCTGTCTGCCTTTTTGTACAACAAGGTTCCACATGTTTATCGGTTGCTACCTCTGCAACCATTTAAAAGGAAAATTAAAAATCTTGTGAAACGAGATTCACTCTTAGCTGGCTAAACAGTGCTTCTCAATTAATACTAATGTTAATGTTTTCCTCTATAACACGAATTTTTTTTTGTATTAGTACAACCAATCTGTATTAGTTTAATGTTTTTTTTTTGTGTCATTTATTTCGTGCTGGTTAGGAAAATTCAAAAAACCCAATCTAGTAATTTAAACCAAGTGACTAATTAAATGTGGCTTTTTTAAAAATAAGTCCGAAATCACATTGGAATCGCGTTTTTTAGTTGATTTGTGTTTTATTCCGGAATGTGGCTTTTTTAAATCATTTCGGAATTACATTGGAATCAAAATGTTTTTGTCAAAATCTGGAATACTTTTTTTCATTTGAATGCTCTTTTTGTTTTTTTTCACTGGAATTTTTTTTATATATTTTTTGATTCTAGACTAATTAATGGTTTTATTTTATTAAAGTTTTATTTGAGAAGAATATTTAATTTTTAGAATTTCATCTTTGAGACATTTGAAAAAATAAATAATCACAGGGAGGCAAAGGCTCGGGGAGGGCCCAGAACACCCATTATTTTGTAATTAAAAGTCGACTTTCTATGAATTTAGGGGCAAGACTTATAGTCTGCTTTATTTTCAAAATCCCATTTCAGAGTTCTCCTTAAAATATGGGATAAATTAAAATCCACGCCAGCATTTAAAACCCCTTCGAGATAATGTGGGGCGAAAAATGGCACCGTGTTGCCACTTGCGAAACGCGATAATCATTTGCTATTAACAACCGAATACTAGTTTTGTATTTGTTTTAGTCAATCTGTACATCAGCCCCCTTCAGTGACGACCCGATCGCCATAAGGATCCTACACCAATGCGACTACAGCAAACGAATCACCTTGGACATGGCGAAAAGTGGCAACGCAGGCCGTCCCGTCCGAGTTTACGCGGACGGAATCTACGACCTGTTCCATCAGGGTCACGCTCGCCAGCTAATGCAGGCGAAAAGCCTCTTTCCGAACGTATACCTGATAGTCGGCGGTAATTCGGTGAGCGATCCGTTTTGAGCCGAGTTAAACTTCTTTGTTTGCAGTGTGTAACGATTACGATACGCACAGTAGAAAAGGTAAAACTGTGATGAACGAGGACGAGCGGTACGAGGCCGTCAAGCATTGCCGTTACGTCGACGAGCTGGTGAGGGACGCGCCGTGGGAAATCGACGAGGAATACCTCGCGAGGCATAAGATCGACTTTATCGCGCACGACGATATACCGTACGGCACCGACGATTGCAACGACGTCTACGCGCCGTGGAAGGCGAAAGGGATGTTCGCCGCAACGCAAAGGACCGAAGGCGTTTCCACGTCGGATATTGTCGCGCGAATCGTTCGCGATTACGACGTTTACGTGCGGCGCAACTTGGCGCGAGGTTACTCGGCCAAGGACTTAAACATCTCGTATTTAAGCGAGAAAAAGATTAAATTGCAAAATAAAATGCACGAACTGAAAGACAAAGGGAAAAAGGTGATCGATTCGATAGGCGAGCGTAAGGACGACATAATCGCCAAGTGGGAGGAGAAATCTAGGGATTTTATTGAAAACTTCCTGCTGCTCTTTGGCAAGGAGCGTTTGACAAATATTTGGAACGAATCCAAGGATAGGATAATGAACGCGCTGAGCCCGCCGAGCTCCCCTACGCGAGAGGGGTCGCCCGTATCGAACCACTCCATGAACGGCGGTGAGTCTAGTGACATTGACGAATCCATGCAGCCTCCAAGGAAAACGTCAAGGTATGAAAGCCCATCTCCTTCTAATAGTCGACCTTCGTCTATCCATAAGTATTATAACAATGATTTTAGTGACGACGAAGATGACTTGCCTAAGTAAACGACTAGTGATTAGAACTGTATTACGCTTAATAAAATTAAAACCAAAAATAAACGAGAACCAGTTGGGTATTGCATGGAATGTAGGTAGTGACTATATGCTTGTGATGAAAATCGGTGATGTAAAAATTATTTATTTGTTTTTATATATTCATTGTGTTAGATTGAGTGAACCACATATTTTTTCACTTTTAGTACCAATAATATAGTGGGGTAGTTATTTGCAGAGTGAATTTTTGTCACCCATTTTACACGAACACTTTTTTAAAGTCTCATGTATTGCAGTGTTTATATATTTCTACATTTTTGTATTATTTATTTATAGAAAAGCGAGTAAAGGATCAGTCACGATGTAATTGTAACGCCAAAATTTAAAATGTAACAAAAATCTATATGGGAGTATACTAGTTTTATAGAAATTATTTGTTGAGCTTGTTAAATATAATTTTTAAAAACAGTTACGTCCTTGTCTCTACCATCTTCTAACTATTTTTATGTTATTTTTATCGTGTGTCTTTATTTTGTGGTATGTACCTACACTGTTTTTTGCACGCTACTACAATCGAATTATGTACTTTTAAATTATTATTATTAAAAATAACCACATATTTATTTACCTTGACATTAGGGGCCTTATAATTCAAACGGAACTTGGTTAGTAAATTTTGCAATGGTTACAATTGTTGCCATGGTAATTTGTACCAACCTGGTTAATTCGGTTAAATTATGGCTTCGTCAATTCCTGTTAACTGATAGATACGTTACACAGAGATAGTTTTTAAAAGATACAATGCAAAAGATTTCTTTGGATTGTACACTATCCTTTGGTTGAAGCTTGTTCGTAAGATGCTTCTTATTCAACCACGAAAACAACTTTCATATTCTTTATAATAGGCTTTACTGGATTTGGATTTTGCACCTACCGACTTTTCTTCTGCTTTTGCAACAAGCCACTGATTGGTCGGTGCATTATCTTTTTTAACCGAATTTATATTTATTGTCAAGTGACATTTCCATGGAATTACGAATATAACATATTAAATCTCAACTTCGACGTTAAATTTACGCGCTTGGAGGCAAAAGAGAGCATGTAGATTCGTAAAACACTGGTACTTTGGCACCAATAGGGGCATGTTAGCAACATTCCCTTGGCTTACCACCTTCAAATTCTTTCCTTGCTACCATCTCCACCACAAGCTATATATATAGGTGCTACCACGATTCATATGACACCATTAGTCTTCTATACGTGTCATTTGCCTTTCATTTCTTCGCAATCCTTCTTAGTATCGTCACAGTCTTCTTATTTGAAAGTCGAAATTTCAAGTTTAAAAAAGTATAATGGACTAAGAAGAATTGCGATTGAAAACGACTGACCGTTTCTATGTTAGTAGGTACAGCTACAGGGTGCGTCCAAATTTTCTGTTTGAAGTTGCAATGGTAGCAAGAATCCCAGACCAGCAGGCGCCACCAATTAAGTCGATAAAAGACCAGTCACCGACAATAAGGAATTAAAGCCGATGCGACGCATTTTTTTCTGGAAATATGATACACCTTCTAAACTCCTGAGAACGTGTTCCGTTTTCTAGAAACTTCGCATTTGTTATATAAGTATTAATTATGTTACGAATTATGTAATAATAATAATAAACAAACTGAAAGGTGTTTAATGGGCGTTTCAACATCGATGTCGAAACAATTAGTAGTAAAGTTCGCGCTCGTATTAATAATTAATTGTAAATAAATCGCGTAATTAAATTTATGTTACAGAAGCGTTTACAGAACAACGGGTCGCCGTGAAAAAAAAACGTTATCCCAGTAACACACTAGACGGGCTCTAGTAAGGGAATGGTGCTTTTCGGATTCGCTACCGCAGCTGCCTAGTGCGTTGCCGGCTTTAATTGCCGCCTAAAAGGTTCGGAGTTCTAAACGTGTTCAATGCGAAGCCGGTTGGTAGTAAGAAAATAATGCTAAACACAAAAAGGGGCGTGGACTAATTTGGCCGAGCTTCTCTTGAATTAAATAGGATAATACAACAGTAGGTAGGTGATAACTGATGCACAAATTAAGTGCGCCACTTTTGCCCATCTTACTCGCTATATTAACATATTCATAAACTGTGCTAATAATATTGTAGCGAATATTCCAGAAGTGCCAATAGACATCGAGGCGCCATGATTTGTCATCGGGGACAAAAATACCTACGATATGATCCTCAAGAGGCGCAAGGTACGCGAAGATCCTGAGAGTCGTTGTGAAGAGGTTAGTACTCGAAATTTTGGTTCCAACAACAGATGCGCCCGTTGAAATCTAAATAAGCTGGTGGGTAAAACAATACTATAGCGCGTTCGCACCTCCAAATTCAGTATGGTGCTTATAGACATACAATACATGCTTGCCAAACGTGACAATGACAGCACAAGGAGATTATGTTTTGTTTTAATACTTCCAATTAATCATATGTCAGTTTGACATCAATGCGGTTAGAAACAAGGATAGTATTATCGAAGAATGCCGCAAACTAGTAAGAGAGGCAATTAGTCCGTAAGACCCCATACTGAATCTGGAGGTGCGAACGCGCTATAGTGATAAAATTTCTATTTGTTATTACTGCACTGTACGGTGATCGTTTAATTAGCAATACTATCCCTCGCGTAACATTAGAATGGATATTTTTTGAAAACCTAAAAATTGATAATTGATCCGCCACTGCTTTTTAACAAATGACATTTGGTATGTTACCAACTGTATAAATGCTTAGTTTTGTGGGAAATTCAAACTGTCCGCAGTCATTTTGGATCACTCGGTATTAAAAAAGACTCCGAAATTGAATTTCAGCACGCTTAGCCATCTATACCCTTTTTTGTCATACGTAAAATGGTCATGCGCAAGACTTTTAACATATAATTTATTTTTATTTATTTATTAATAATATTTTATCGTTAATAATAATAATAATAATAAGCGGCAACCACCAATGTACGAAAAATTTTTAACGCCAACACTTCAGAACCCAATTTTAACAGCAACAATGTACCATCGGTTCTTTTCGGTACCGATTCCAACTATATGTGCCGACTTTTGAAAATTCCAGGGCGAAGGAGGGGGGGGCGGATGGCAGAACTGTTTCTACTAAAAATTTGACGCTGAACATTTACAAAGATCATTTATATTTCTGTATTTAAAAAGAGAGGCACATATAAAATTAAAGACTAAAGAAACATGAACATTTTGTTCACAGATACACTAGGTATATTCCATAATACCCATTGATGCGGGCAATAATAAGAACATAGTAATAATACTAAATAACACTAAAATAAAAGAAAATGATTTTATACCAATTAATATAGATATTATGTATTTTCCCTACTAGCCTAAGCGGGAGAGCAAAGCGATATAAGCTTTATAGGGGCGAGTCGATTATGTCCGTCTGTCCGTCCGTGAACACGATAACTGTCAAACACTTGGATCGATTCAGTTCAAACTTTGCACAGTTGACCTACATGCCACGTCCCAGATAACATGGGATATTTTTAGAATATTCCTTTAACATGCTGTGAATATTCCAAATATGCATAAAATGTTCTATGAATATACACGTTCGTCTGACATATTCTATGGATATTCAGCAATGAATATACCGAGAACACACTATTAATATTCCTTGATTTTTCGGTATTGAGTATTCTGTTATACATGTGCCTGGATGTAGGTACAGGTGATATTCGTGTCAATTTAAAACCTTAATTGCAATACAGAAAATGTATCTTTTACGTAACAAGTTCGTTAGATACTTATTTTTAATTAAAAAATTATGCACTTGTCCTTATGAATGTCCTGTAAATATTCATACTTCCAAATTGCAGTCAAGTCAAGGTGGGTCAAGTGTAGAGCATGTTCTAGGAATATTGAGAAGAACCGTTTTTTTCAAGTTTGTATATATATACCTCATATACTTTTTAGACTGTTTTAGATCTGCTTTAGGGGTTCGTTTATTAACTTTTTGTTCACTTGTAAAGTAGACTTTCTCGGCAGCTTTTGAAAGTGGTTAATAAAATACTAGTTAATCTCTTGGAGTAGGTAAAATAATGTTGTACCTACATATGCCGCCCTATTTTTGTTGGCGGCGATTACCTTAGCGTTAGGGTGCGCAAAAAAAAGTTTGCACATTGTTATTATAGCCAATTCCCTTTTACTTGCCACCCAAACTGTCGCCTCCAAGAAAGTATAAGAAAAGATGACATCTCTCATGAACTTTTAGGAATGTTATTGATAACGCAAAGTGCGTAACATTGAACTGTCTCATTTTACCAATTTATCACCGATAAAAATAGGCCTAATATACAAAGAAACATCTAATTTTACATGATAAGAGTATGCGATAAATCATTAGTGCGTAAGTTGCGAACACTCTGTTAACATGTCCATTACAAATGTTTGGTAGGTACCTCTCCTCGCAAAGTAGGTGCCTTTTGCAATAAAATTGTTAATTTTAGGTGCGGTATAATGCAGAACGAGACCGCTCTTTTGCTACATCAGGGTGAAAGGTACGTGTTTTTTTTCTAGATCAAATTGGGCCCCTTTTTAAAGTAAAAGTCATTTTTTGTGGGGGATGCAAATTTCAGCGCTTTTCTTATTGATTTACATTGCGTATTGTTTGAAAAAAGTGTGGGAAATCGCCGCGAATTGTGAAAATCGCGAGCCGAATGGCGAAATTATACCACTATTAATTTGTAAACAAATCACCGATCGAAATTGAACAATTTTTTGTTGCAATCGCTTTATGCAACAATTATTATGCAAAAGTGATGAGTTTAAATTTCATTAAAGTAACGTTTATTGTGAAGTTGATTTCTTCGTCCTTGTCGCTCGCATTCAATTGCGGACGTGCCATCTCTGCATCGGCTAACGTGAAGCGCAATCTAGATTTGTACCTGTCATTTTCAAAAATGGGCCAATCAGAAGCGCGTATTTAACTTTGAAGTCTGCATTTTTTTGCCAAACGTAAATTATTTTCAAAAATGAATCTCGACACTAAAAAACGTGAAATAATAAATTTATTGTACAGTGAAGGTTTAATACGTTCGTGATTGAGTATTCGTTAGTTAAGGTAGTTGTAAATAAGCAGTTTGTTGTTGATGTAACCACAAAATTTTGCACTCAAAATGGACGAAGTCAACGCTCGTATTGTAAACCAACAGTCGTCCATAAGCATAGATTCTAACGCCGAAGACTTTACAAAAACGGAAAGTGAGTAGTCAAAATGCAACCCCCTCGCGAAATTCTAGTGGCAAGTAAATGTGAGGTTATGGTTCCCATTCTCAAGGTTAAAGGCACGATTTTCTAACGTCGTTAATTTTTGTCGACAGCGGTCCTGCTCCCCCTGGACAAGAGGCTATGCTTGGTCGGGCCGTTGGCGGCCGATCCCGACGTATGCAACTGCGCGCAAACTTTCGGGGTTCCCGTAATTACGTCCGACGACGGACTGCAATACTTGGAGGATCGATCGTGCAAAACGATATACGTACTGAACACGTTCGACGATGACCTGTATAACACGTTGTATAAGCAGAGGCAGTCGATTTTGGGGCCGGTGGCGTTACGGCAACTATCGCAGAAACAGGAGCAGCTACCCGATAATACCAGACCGCTATTTAATTTGTCGATGACGGGCGTTATTGTGTGCTTTACGGGGTTTCGTAATAAAAACGAGTTGGTAAGTGTGGTTTCGTGACTGTGAGTAAACGTAATTGTCGGATTTCAGAGTTTGGTCGTGCCGTTAGTGCATCACATGGGCGGATCAATTCGGAAGGATATGTCCGTGAAGGTTACACATTTAATCGCGAAGAGTAGCGGTGGCGATAAGTATCAGTACGCTGCTACGTTTAAGGTTCCCGTCATGCATCAGTCGTGGGTGTTCACCTGTTGGGAGCAGAGATTTAACCCGGATTTTAGCGCGACTCTTGACGTGGTTGTTGTAAGTTGTACGGTGGCCGTTTTTCGTCTTTTAATTGTGTTGTTGTAGGCCGAACACAAACTAAAACCTTTTCACGGTGCCAAGGTTTGCTTCCTCGGTTTTCCCGAGGATGAGGATAAACATATGGCTGAGGTTTTAGAATCGAATGGCGGAAGTGTTACGCATTTGGAAGATGTTGATTGTACTCATGTAGTAAGTACGGGGAGCGCTTGCTTGATTTTGTTATCTTAATGCTTAGCCGATTTTATTTCTCTTACCGTTTCATGTGCACGAATTATGCCCGAATTTATGTAGACAGGACCCCACAGTTTATCTGAAAAAATGTTACAAAAGGTAGAGGTTTGAGACACCAGACATCCTGTATAAATCGAAAATACAATAAGTTATTATACAGGGTGTAATATGCATTCTGATAAGTTTGGTTCCCTGACCAAGAATTGCAGGTGGAATTTTTGCGCAATTTTTGTAAACTAATTGTAGACAGAGAACTGGCTACAAAATGGTCTCGAAAATGGTTATACCTTCTTTACCGGTTGAGTTGCAGCCAAGTTATTTTACGTGAACAATAATAAACATTTTAAAAAAATGATAAAGATACAGTAAATAGAACAAATAAAATAAGAAAATTTTAGAATAAACACACTGTATAATAATATCAAAATGTTGGTTACTGATATCACTGTTTTTCTATATACAGGGTGTATTAGGTTGAGAAGTAAGTAAATTTCCGTTTAGAAGATTTGAAAATTTTGACCCCACTTGTTTATTTAGCGGACAGTGTCTACAGGGTGTTGTTTCAAGGGTCATGTTCCATTTTCCATCCCTGAACTTTTTTTCAGTGGAAGATTATAAAATAAGAATTTGATTTTCTGATTTGTTTGAAACTTTTTGGTCTCTTGTAAGTAAAAAAATAATAAAATTTATTTTTGGTAGTTGGTAGTAAAATCTATCAAATGCCCTGACTATTTGGATAATCTCTTGTTTTATTAGTTTTGACAGTTCGCATTTGAAATTGCATCTTGTGTTTATGTATGTTTATAAATTAAAGATTTGGATTGTATAGCGAAATTTTAACACCCTGTAACGAAGCGTTTGCGGACCTATGTTTATATAACCTTTTAGTCATCAAATAAGCCACAGAGGTAGCCCTTTCCGTCATCATATTTAGGAACACCCATCATTTTTTAAATGTTGTAAATATGTTTCTACTGTCAGCCATTTTTATTGATCGGTATCGGATGCCTTAGTTACTACTGGAACAAAACAAAATTTCCATGATTCCATGGCCTACTATTTGAAAACTATAAAAAATTCGGTTTTTGTTTTTACAATTTAAAAAAAATATATAGGCTCGAGCGGTTATCTAGGAAAATTGCCAACTTACATACATACAGGGTTAGTCAACGATTGTGCGGAGTAACTTAATGCCTTGAAGATAGGATTTTTCGATAGATTGCTTTTGTATTATGGTACTGGCAGCAAATAATTAATTTGCGATGCATGCTACACTTACTTTCGAGCATTGTTTTGTTTTTTATGAAAGTAATAAAATGGCAACATTGACAAAAAATCAAGAGGTGAATAGGTTTCAATGTAGAGGTTAACAAATGACATCAGAAAAACAAAAAATATACAGGGTGTGCTAGTTATTTATTTACACCGTAAAAATGGGACACCCTGTACATTCAAAAAATAATTTTTATAGATGCCCAACTATCTACAGTTGCACAGTTTGCACAAAAAAGGTTTCTTTAATATTTTTTACGTGGTTTGAGTTGAGGAAAGAGCGACACACTGCTGCAAGTTCCTGAATATCAGAATCTAAAAAGCAGGAAACCCAAGATATTTTTAAAACTACCAGAGATAGGTATAGAACATTATTACCAAAACTTGAAGGTTTTTGAAGGAGCGAAAAGATGACAGAAAAATATACAGGGTGTATCATTTTAAAAAGTGAGATTTTTTAATATGAAATATTATAACTTTGGAACTACAAGGACAAAATTGTAGATGTAATATGTATTTGACTTTTACTTTACCCTCCATATAAGATATAGAACCTGGAATCAAAATTTAAGTAGCAATTTTGATAATAATTGCAAATATGCATATTTACGGAACTTACTGGCAACAAATAATAAATTAAAAAGAAACAAAATGCCAAATTTTTCTTATAAATCGAATTATCTTTAAAACTTCAAATTCTTTGTATATTAACCAAATAATAAAAAAGTGGTACAATTACACGTAGTGTAAATTAATTATTATTAATTAAATTAAATTAAAAAAATGCATTCAAGTACAGGGGGTTCCATTAAAAAATCTACCCCTTTAGTCCTACTTTGAACGCACCCTGTAGGTATAATTTAAAATATTTTTAAATGTGGAGAATATTCAACCATAGCACTCATCAAAAGTTACTTCGCGTAATCGTTGACTCACCCTGTACATCCAAACGGAAAAATGTATTCTTTAAAAGTTGCTTAAAATGATTTTTATTACTAAATTTGCATTTTTTTAGTAACTTTACGATATTCATTTGTTTTTATTTTACATTTTCTGATGATTTATTTATGGTAAACCCCACAACTTTTGTATTTAAAGATTTGCTCCACCTCTTATAAGAAAGTTTGTAAATTACTTTACATTTTTTTCAAAAATCCGCCGCCAAAATTCACCGATCTCCAAATAAATGGTGCAAAACTTCAGCCATTCTGTGAAAGTTGTGCGGCGGTGCCTCATCTTGTTGAAAGTACATAACTCGTCGACTTTGCAAACAAATATCATTCAAAAAGTTCTCTAAAACGTCTGTTATTAAATGGATCTTTCCCCATTAAGTGTACCACCACCACACATTGATATTAAATTTGCGTTGTGGATTGCCTGGATGTGTAAAAAGTGGGTTTTCTCTTGTCTCAGATCGACCGGGAAAAAACATGTGGCCTGTAGAATCCATAATTTCAAACAGTTCCAAGATTGGCCTACTAAATCAAAAGTTACAGCCCTTTGAATTTTTTTCGAAATTGGTTTCTAGTCTATAACTTTTTTTTGAGAAGTCTAATCGAAAAAGTACAAATCGTTTTGGATTCTACACACCAAAATTAATAAGAGAAAGTGTTTTCTTGAGAAATTTTGGTGTAGTCGATTTTTGGTAAAAAAAGGAAGGTTTTGCCTTTTTTTTGGCCCGAAAAAAAATTGTCTTAGATCGACCGGGAAAAAATATTTTCTAATAGAATGTGGCCTGTAGAATCCATAATTTCAAACAGTTCCAAGATCGGGCTACTGGATCAAAAGTTACAGCCCTTTGAATTTTTTGTCCAAATTGGTTTCTAGTTTATAACTTTTTTTTTGAGAAGTCTAATCGAAAAAGTACGAATCGTTTTGGATTCTACGCACCAAAATTAATAAGAAAAAGTGTTTTGCCGGTTGTACACTGCCTTTTTTTTTGGCCCGAAAAAAAAAATTGGAAGATGAAGAAATAACAGATCAGAAAATTAAAAAAAAAAGATGGGGGACATTCTTTAATATTTGCCATAATTGAAATTAATTAAGTATTTTTCCATTAATGTTTGATCGTGAAGAAAGAGAAGAAGGGTTCTTCCGACAAGTTATTCCTTTCTACGTCATTTTAAGGTAGGTATCTTCCTAGTAAAGATAGTGTGGGGTCCTTTTGCAAGTATGAATGTATACAGGGTGTTCCTCTTGATTAACAGCACATCTTCAGAATGTATCATGTAGGAAGGATCATGGTGGTTAATTTAAAGTACACGTAGGATCATCCATAATGCTAACCGTGAAGGAGTTCTCCTGCAGGTAGACCAACTGTCTCGTGCCGTACTCAATTATATAGGGTCGCTATTAAACATGGAACCAAAGGTTTTATGCTCAAATCGTTTGAGATATGGACATGAAGATTAGAATGTTTCCATTTGACAATATTTCACATATTTTGAGATTAAAAAAATGTGTAGACATGGTTTTTGAGTGCGGCTGCCATCTTGAATTTTTTTAATGGCAACATAATTTAACACCATACATGTTTAAAGTAATAAGAAAGAGAAAAAAATAAGCTTTCTATCACATGACGTATGTCGCCATTAAAAAAATTCAAGATGGCGGTCACACTAAAAAAGCATGTGTCAAATGAAGGAAATAATTTCAATTTGAACATGAGAGCTTTGGCTCAATATTGTATATTAGCCGTTTGTATCCCACTCTCATCCCGCTTGTAGTTGACACTTATTCAGGGAGAGCGAGCGACCGTCGGTCTATCTGCACGCAAATGGTCCTCCCGAAGCTATATCACTAACGAGTAGAAACGCCCTGTATATTTTTGAATCTTTCTATAGTAACTCTTTCCTATCATTAACAATATAATCTTTGCAAGGTGTTGGACTGTCCTTTTCAGGTGATGGAGCAAGCAGAGATTTTCGACGTGGACCATATTAACCTTTCCAAACCCGCTTCATCTATCGCGCCATTTTTAACTAATACCAAAGGTAAATCTACGTGCACAAAGGTTACACAAAAATCGCAAGCTTTAAACTCCACCCTAGAAACCCTTCACGAAGATCATCAAAATCTTAATAACACTTACTTTGACGATACGTGTGTAACGGAAGATCTCAATAGCACAACGTCATCGGGTAAACGCAAACGTGAGCTGTTCGCCGCCGCAGTGAACAAGCGCCGATGCGATCTGAGCTACAGTGAGAACGCCCGCAGGAGACTTTCCCACTTGCTCCGTACGCCGTTAAATTACTTGTCGAGGAGGCGGCAAACGATCGGCGGGCAACCGGCGAACCAAAAGACGAGCTCTGGCGACTTTCGAGTGGAAACGATCGCGTCGTGCGACACTCGAACAAGTTTTCGCCACAAAAACGTTAAAAAGAACTTATTTAAACGATCATTTAAATCCGACAAGTTTAAACGTAAGCGTAGCCTAAAAATGTGTGACCTAAATGCAAGTAATTTATCTGAAATCGACGGAAGAGACTCTCTTAATAACAGTTGCTTTCCCGACTTTTCCTCCTATGCATTTCCCGACATTGCGACAAGCGCTAGGAACACAAGAGAATCATCTGGCGTTGCGGTACTAACTTCAATATTTTACCTACTTGCATTTTATTTATACGAAACGTGTCTGAGAATATTGCTGGGTTTTCAGTGTTCGGAGAAGCGTCAAATCAAAAATATGACACGTGTGGCGGTAATTTTTATTTTCATCCTGTTTTAAGTAAACCTGTACATTAGCATGTTACTTTTAACTACAGAGTGCGCTTTCATCGCTTACGCCCAGTCTCACAGACCGGCTCTTTTTCTCCTCACACGTGTCTAAAATTAATTCACTTTATTATTCTCTTTAAAACTTTCAAAACTACGCTATATACATGGTACTCAACAATATCTGTTTGTACTTCACACTAGAGGGCGACACTTCACTATGTACTGAAAGCAGTAAATATCCTGGCAGTAATTTTTTGCACGTTCAATGAATGAAATGCATACATTTCGCCAAAGAATTATCGATCCATGTTCATAATTCTTTGGCTTCCATTAAGATATGCGTAACTTGAAACGATTAATTGCCAATTATGCATATTTGAGATAGTCGGGTGAACGGTTTTCCAAACACTTGTCTTCCTAACGTACTGTATTCGTAGGTCGTCGATGAGTCGACCGTGGCCGAACGTCCGGAGATCTCCTCGAGAGCCCAATTTGTAAAGGCGGAATGGTTTTGGACCTCTGTACAGAAACAGATTTGTCTCGACGAAAAAGAATACTTATTTGACGATGTGAGTATTGCATTTAGTTTGCTATTAATGCTCTAAAGTTTAAATGCTTGCATTGAAGTCGATTGTGTAAGTATCGCTTGCTCAAAATGATATCGATCTGATTGTGAATCTTAGTACATAGAGCAAGTTCTGTCGCCATCGGCGAGGCGAGAGTCGCAACCGAGCGCGACACCGAGCAGCGCCACCAGACGGAAACGGAAAAGACTGCAGGAAACGTTATCGTCACTTGCCCTACAACCTTCGCCCAGTGTTTACAAACGTAGGTCTTCAGTAAGCGACGCCGGGCTCTTATCCGTGTCGGGATCATTTTTGGATTGCACCGCGAGTCCAGAAAAATGCCTGAACGACCTGCCCGAAAGTAGTCCGGCCATCGAAACTCGCAAAGCTCTAACGGCACGACAGCAGGTGGTGATGGAGCTAGTACAAACCGAATCGAATTATGTTAACATTTTAAATACGATAATGACGGTAAATATCGCGGTCCACGTTGGGCGCCAAATTATTGTTGTGACCAACGCCATCTTTTAATTTTTCTGAAAACTTGACTTCTATTGTTTTGGACTTGAAAGAGAGGTTGGTCACACAATATTACCCCCGAGTCCTTCATCCCCAGAATACTAATCTAATGTAATTCTTTCAGATGTTCAAAAAACACTTAGAAGACATGCCCGAAGAAGAAGCCTTACTGAACAACACCGAATTAAAAATCATCTTCGGCAACCTACCCCTAATTTACGAAACGCACATAAAAATGCTCGAAGAATTGCGCTGGACGTCCGCCCACTGGACCGAGGAGCGCAGCATCGGCAACATAATTTTGAAATACTCGACGGACTTACTAAAGGCCTACCCACCGTTCGTAAACTTCTTCGAGGAAATGAAGGAGATGCTCCTGATGTGCGACGCGAATAAGCCCAGGTTTCACGCGTTTCTGAAGGCGTGCCAGACGAGGCCGGAGTGCGGGCGCCAAAAATTGCAAGATCTGCTAATAAGACCCGTGCAGAGGTTGCCTAGTATTAGTTTATTATTAAACGGTAGGTTATACGTGCCCGTGTTCCTCGCTCACCTCTTATTTTTAGATATTTTAAAACATACGTCTAAGACAAATTCTGATCATATAGCTTTAGATCAAGCGCTAGCCGCTCTGAAAGAGGTTATGACGCATATCAATGAGGATAAGAGAAAGACGGAGGGCCAGCGAGTAATGTTTGATATTTTTAATGACATCGATAACTGTCCAGTAAGTAATTTAGCTTAGGTTTTGAGGTTATACACAGTGCAGTGTTGCCAAGGTACATCGACATAAATATATTCATGATCGTACTCGCTGAAATAGATCGCCAGACATATTTTCGTTCAGGTTCGCTATGAAGCGGTAACATGTTAATGATTATCAAAATATAACTTTTTTAATTCTAAAGCGACCACCCGTTACAAAGGCTCTTTAAAACTTTCAAAGGCTTTTTAAGGGCTTTCAAAGCCGCTTAAGGACTCTGAAAACCAATTAATGGGTCCTGTAGAGGTGTCTTGTAAAACTTTTTTGAATATTCTCGAAGTTTTTTTAGAGGCTGTTAGGGTTTTGAGTATTTTGAAGACTAAGAGTTTGTCTTATTCCATCGCCACCTATAGAAACCGGCGATATTTTAATCGAAATCTTTGAGATACAACAAATCAATGAAATTCAAAGGTAATAATATTCTAATTTATACTGAAAGCTGTGAAAAATTTAGCAGTTTCACATCATACAATTTGCTGACAAAATTATTATCACACCTTCATTAGAAATTAAAAAATACCGGATAGTGTTAAACAATCCAAGGATTACGTGTTAGGTTCTCATACATTTAGCGTTATCTTTCTTATTGCAATAATGTTTATGCTAGTTAATTACAAAATTAATTAAATAATCCACATTATCCGGTCATAATTGCGCTTTTCAACAAACAGACTGGAAGAACCATTTCAGTCAAACGCCTTAAACTCGATTTATAACATTGACGGCCAGTTGCATCCAGGATTATTGTTTAATCCCGTATTAAGACATTTGATTGGCTGTATATTGCAGTAGGCAGCCAATTAAATGTCAAAATTCTTATTTAAACTCAGATTTGGTAAATAATGTAGGATTTTTATTATAATTCGCTTTCCTGCAACCGGTCATGACTTAAATAATGACGTAAAGATAAATCTCGTATCGCACTTTTTTGTTACAGAAACTTTACAATTAAACAAGACCGACTGTCACGCCTCAATAACGGTAAAACTGATTGTTTGCAACAAATACGCTCGAAAAAAACGTCTACCAAACCAAAAAGCTTCGATTCACGACCGGCTCCCCATTTAAAATCTCTCTTTTCAAGTTTCCTATCTCCTCCCTTGATCAAAATACGGCATCGTCTTTCAACAAACTGCACCTGTGTTTTCTTATCTTGAAACTAATTAGCTTACGCTGCGATAACTTCTTATCTACGACCTACGCAATTATTTCCAGATGTTAAATCTAGCATGTAATAAAATTGAACAAATAAACTGCTTATTTAAACTAGTAATTCTGATACAAAACAAAATTGACCTCGAATTCAACAAATATGATCGAATCCTGTGTCCATTCTTAAATAACAACCAACTTTTAACATTGAAAATAATTCAAAGGCACATACAGGGTGTCCCATTCTTATTGTGGTGTTGAAGTTTCCTTGTTACGGTGGGTAGCTAAGAGGGGAACCTGTCCAAGAGTGGCTAATGAGTTTAAGTAACATTCTTCTCCTTTCAGCCCGATTTAATCTCCTCACATCGAACCTTCGTCACCAGAGCCGAGGTGATACAGCTTTCCTCGTCCGAGGGACTCTCGAGCAAGGGCAATTTCCTCGTCCTATTTCTGTTCACCGATCAGCTGGAGGTGTGCAAGAAGCGATCGAAGGCGTTCAACACGCTCAAGAGTCCGAACACCGTCAACGGATACCATCAGAAGTCGACCAGTAAACCGTACAAGCACGTCAAACTGATGCCCCTCAGTCACATAAAGCGAGTTATCGACATTAAAGAAACGGAAGACTGCCAGCGAGTGTTCAGCCTCGTATTTAGGAATAACGACGAAATCAAAGAGCGTTTGTTTTCGTTCGCGATGACCGAAAGCGACGTGGATAAGGTGACCTTTTTGAAAACGCTTTGCAGGCAGATGGCGACAAACGCTTGTACTGCAGACGCGGTAAGATTCTGCGATATTTACTCGTTTTTAATTTTGCAACTTTTTAGGACAAGTTCTTGGCGTACTTAGAACATCAACAGTTGGACATAGACACGAGCGATATAAATAATGGAACGTTATCGAAAGCTTTCAAATTTGCTAATAGAACGAGACTGAAAGTGGGGCGGGCTTTTTCTTTTAATAAGACACCTTCGAAACTGAAACGCGCCGTTTCTTCTATGATGTCACCGTTTGGCAGCTCCACGAATATTACGCCGGCTTCCCAACTGGCGCAGATGAGACTTGCTAGTTACAGCAATATAAATGTAAGTATAATTTTGGTGGGGTAAAGGCTTGCAAAATGAGGTAGGTAGGAGATTAATTCCCCCCCCCCCTCCCCATATATGGGCATAAAATTTACAGAACAGCGTCTGTTGCCTTTTTGGGTGGGGTTGACCCCCATTCTTCTACTTTCTTTCTTTTATCTTTGTTTTTTATCTTTTGTTTGTGTCTTTGGATCACTTTTCTTTCAAATGTTTATTACTATTATTATTATTTTATTTCACCTCAAATATTATCATTGTTGCATCCAATGTTCTGTTTTTTTTATTAAACATTTTTTATGAATTTAGCCGCAATTACCTTTAATTAAATATATTGTAATTAATTTTGGTTTTGTGAGTGAATTCAAACGTCATTTGAGCCAGCTTTCAGCCAGTCGCAATCTATAGGTTTGCGAGGTGTAAACAGTCTTAAAATGGATTAATTTATAACAGTAATAATTATTTATCACTTACAATTTATGACATAACTCAAGCGCATTGAAGTTGGAACTGACTGAACCGCAACTCGACAATTTTTCTAGAACAAAATCTTCGCTGGAAGTTTTCTCCACAGTAACTCGCAGATTTTCGGGGCTCCGGTAAATATTTTGATAAAAAATTTCATGGTTACTAAATATACTGTGTGCCCAATTTTGGTTGATACAGGATGAAAACGAAAAGTTTGATTTTTGGGATGTTACCATATCTTAGTACCACTGTAAGATAGAAAAAAGGTAAAAATGTTTCTGTAGAATTCAGTGGCGTATTCAAAAAAATTTTTTGGACCGCCGTTTCTGAGATTTGACCCAATGTTGATATTTTTTAAATGCCACACCCTATATATCTTAACGGCAATTATTTGCATTCATTTTCCTGATTACATTAATGTATCATAATCTATATTTTGTTGTATAAGAGTATTCAGACTACGAAAAAAAATATTGCTATGATCGTTTTACGTCCAGTTTTACCGGGCAACTCTGTATTTTATCGATTTTTCGAAATCTACATGAAAATCTACGTTATTTGATACCACATTTCCCTATACCCAGCACCAAAGGTTTTCAAGTTATTCAAGATTTTTGAAAATTTCTTGACGTTTGGCTGCTTGCCTTTGGATACTGTACCTATGACTCAGTTGAGTTGAATTTCAAAAATTCTGCCAAAATCAAGGATACTGACTGCTACATGAGAATGATTAAATTTTTATCGTCCTTGTACAGGGTGTTCTAAAACTAATGGTCAATTTTAATAACTTCAAATGTTAAAAATTTATTTTTTTTGCAGAATTTCCCAGATCGGAGTCCTGGCTTTTCTCCCATCTTTTGTTTGTTACTTGAAATGTAGCTTCTTTTTGTGGGCTTTGTTTTGTTGAGGTGCTGTGAAAAGAAAAGTTTTGCCGTCTAAGACCACAGAACTACTACTAGGATGTAGCTCTTAAGCTACTCTGATTTGTTGTTGATTAGATCATTTGCGAAAGTACCATCGTCCGCTAGTCAGTGGTGAAGTTGGCTGTTTAAATTTCAAGCCTTCAACAATTTGTCAAGATCATTGAATCACTCAAGCCCCACAACCACATCGAGGAACAGTGAGGAGGGGGAAATTGAGTGAGTCCCTACCCCAAGGGAAATGAATTATGCTCCTATTTTTGTGGCCTTTTTGTCAAAAATTGGTAAATAAAATACATTCAAAGAAGTCAATTTTACTTATTATTTATAAAAAATCTATTTACGCCCCAATGTTTTTAATATGCAGATAAGGTGGATTAAACCAATTTTTATGTAGTGGCATGCAAAAACTGCTACCATAAAAAAATGATTCCCTACATTTCCTATATTCCCTGGATCCTCTGCAGTCACTGAATTCCCTAGATTCTTTACATTATCTAGATTCCCTAATTTTCCTAGGTTCCCTAGATTTTCCAGACTCCATAGATACCCTAGATTCCCAAGATTTACTAGATTCCTTAAATTCCATAGATTCGCTACAAACCTTACACACCCTAGAATCCTTAGATTCCTTATATTCCCTAGACACCCTTCACTCCCTAGATTTCCTGGATTCACCAATTGATTTTTTTTTATTGTTTCTATGTTTCAATGTCTTAGTCATTTATCTTTATAGGGTTCGCTGTTATGTTTTAGGAGTGAAAAATTTAATATCCAAAGAATCACGCTATTTGGCATCAAGAATCTTACCCTCATAGAGTAGGTCTTTACCCGGTTAGATGTAGAGTGCCATTCGTTATTATAAAAAGCGAAATAAATAGTTCAACTTCTGATTACAGGAGCTGGCCGACGCGCACAATTCAAGCGAAACGCCGCCGCTGGCGCCGATGTCCGTTCAGCCCACGAGAAAACTGAAGGCGTCGTCCTTAGGTGCCACCGCTTTAAAACGACTTTAATCCTAACGCTATCTATAGTGATCATATTTGTACATATACATAAGCATAATATAAGATTTTATTTAAGTCGCTAGTTCTGTTTTCTTTTTTTTTTTGTAAAGTTTTAAACGTACGGTTATGTAGTGTAGAATTGAGGGGTGCTTTTACTAAAACTGTAATTTTAATGTGTAAATAATTTGCCAAAGAGATTACTTTTTATAACAAAAATACAGTTTTTACATTACATTTTTGTATTTCGCTGAAATGCAAACCTATCATTGAAAATGGAATAATGGTAAGTTGTTAACTTTGTTTTATTACATTATACTGACTAATTTTTGGTTTGCAGGTGTATACCGGACATACCTTGGGTAAGGGCAAAGTAAGTTCTGATACAGCCTGACCTTTTTCTTTTTAGTGGTGACAGTTGGATTACTGCATATTAAGCTCTGCAGTTGGGTAAAATGATGAATTTTTAGCATTTGCTTAGCGACACGTTAAACTAATACTCGGAATAAAAATGGGTAATATCAATATTGTACCATGAAGATTCTCGATTGGATGAATCACCCGAAATATTATTTAATTGTAAAAGAAGTTGGCCAATTAAATTCTTAAGTAATTTATACAAGGCTTTCCTTTCAATCTTATTTCCTGACAAACCATTCATAGTCACCAAACCCACTCGGATTTCGGTAGTACAATTGTCCTAGAGTGTAGTTTCTTTTTTTATTTCCCCCGTGTAGGGACGGGTAGATTTTGTGTGGTATAAATATACCTTCATATGCTGGTTCATAGGTGTGTATAATTTTATATCGCACAAACTCTAGTAGAATTTTCCTACCACAGAGGGCACTGTGTGTCGTAAGAGGCGACTAATCAACAGCACAGGTTTTTTAATTTAGCCAGATTGATTTCACAGTTCATTATGTTATTTTTTCCATTAGTTTATTTCCTAAAAAGTTATCATACAAATCAAAACGGATTTGCTGCATTATTGAAGCCAATTACAATTGCAGCCTATAGTCTATTTCAGTCTAGTCATTATTCATAAGTAAAATATGATAATTATTAACAGATAATAAAGATGACATCAAAACGCAGTATGATTTTCTCCTTTTTAAATTTCCTGTAAATACTAGATTTTTTTATTGGGTAAGTACAGTACACTAAGCTATAAGTTTGTGTTTAATATTTTTTTTTAGTGTCACCAGAGTTAAGAATTTTTCGAGTGGAGACAACACAGAAAACGTGGTCACCTCAGTAGTGTGTTTGAATGTACCTATGTACCACAGACTTTGTTACTTATAAATAATTGGAAACACTTTTTAGTTTATTTATTGTTGTCCTGAACCACCTACCTTTTTTGTTAATAATTTCAAAATCTTATTTTTGATGTTTTATATCGTAGAATCTTGCTCTCAAAAATTGAGCGAGTAGAGATTTTGTAATAAAAATGTGGTTGTGTTCTACTTGTCCATATTTTATTGTGCAAATTAAATTTATTAACCACATTAGGTAGGTTTTATACTACCTGTGGTGCATTTTAAAATGGTAATTGGTATGACACCCACCAAATAAACTTTGTCCTTTTGAGAATAGCAATATAATTAATGTTTTGTATATGCAATAAGATTTATTTTTCTTTCGTCTTTCAATAAATGAACAGTATCTTCGTCAGTACACTTATCCATATATATTACTCTTAGAAATAGTAACAGAATATTAGTTACTAATCGCATTATAAATAAACTTTCTAATGAAAGTAGGTAAATGTCGAAATGAATAATAAAGCACAGAATAAATTTAATACAACAATCTTATTGGGTACGCAATTACGCATATACTACAAGAAAAAATTTCAAACAATTTGTTATTGTCTGAAATTTATCCTTTTGAGGATAGTACTTGTAGTACCTACCATTTTTTTTTGTTCTTAACAAATTGCTATTATTATATTATGTTTAATTTATTTATGTAATTTGCGAACACAATTTATCTTGACACCTTTATTCATATCGCGCTTTGAGATTGCCACTAAACTTCTTCTGAAGAGCCCCTTTTAGTGGATATACTATGCACTTAAAAATGAGTAGTTGTCGTTAAAAAGTTCTTCTCATGTTCATTGGAAGTTTTCAAGTTAGGTACAACTGTGAATTTTTCAATACGGATTTTCCTATAGTCGGCAAGCATCTATATAATTGTTTGACCAGTGATTCCAGCAAAAAAGCGCCCCTGCCCCTCGTATTCGACATTTTCTGTGTCGACTAGGTAATAAAAAATAAGTTGTAGCAATATTTACGCACTTTTGCAATGTATAAATCAGTCGATATCTTAAAAAATGGGAAATTTGGAATGTTTCTTAATTTTCGTTCACGCAATATCCTAAACCCATATGAAATTAGACCGCACTTTTCTGCGACGTCTCAGTGCTGAGATCTCTAGCCACCAGACGGACGCTTTGTTTTTTTGGAAACTAATTTAAATTATAATTATCTAGTAAAGAGAAGTAGCACATCAAATATTTACATGAGTCCTTAGTCACTTATTCAAACTACTGTGCAAATGTTATTGGTAATTCGGTTTGACTAAAGATAAACAAATACATTAGGGCTGTTTATCTGAACAATGGACATAACATTACTTCATAAAGTGTCAGTCACTACACCATTGAACCGGTACCTATGAGTAATTTACGACCATTCCGAAATTTGTTTACATAAGAGAGAAAAGGGCCGAGCCCATTCATTATCATTTAATAACCAGAACTGATAATAATCCTTTAAACTTTTCGGTCGGAAGCTGTTTACACAGATGTAGGTGCCACCGATCGCAACGTTAAAATGTACAGTTTGAGATTATGACAATTTAATTAATTGTAAATGATTTTTAAATTGTTACAATTTTCTTTACTGTTTTTATGATTGAATTTAGTAAGGAGCACGCAGGGTTGCATAATGTATTTGTCTTTGTTTTACATTATAAGTACATAAGCTCTTATCCCTGAAATTATTTCAATGGGCGTATGTTAAAGAGAGGGGGGAAATTACCTACCTGGGAAGTTTAACTCCTATGGCTTTCCCCTAGTTACGGCATTAATTATACAGGGCCTTTTTCAAAATGAACCCTCTTGAATCATTCTAAAAAAATTATGTATCCGGTGCGCCTAGTATTGAATGCATATCAATACGCTCGTTTAGCTTCAGATAATTGATTTTGGCAAAATCTTTCTTAGAGCACTTTTTTATGTAGAATCCAATGCGATACAGGGTGTTTGGTTTTTCTTATACAACCCTAAACTATTTTTTATTTATTATATTTTATACCGATCACCCTATAGGTATATTTTGGAGTTTTTGAAAAGAGCGTAAAATTTCCTAAATTTATATTAAATATTATTTGCAATATTGCAGTTTATACTTACCTACATTAAAATGTTTTTATTGTAGATATCTAGGTTTCCATGGCGAACAAAAGATGGCAGGATTGTTTTTTTTTTTTTTTTGGTTATTTATTTATATACCACATGACTTATTTGTTTTATTCGCATGTTTTTTTTTGTTTTTTGTGTGTTATTTGAATTTAATAATATTTGGAACTAATAAACATTTCCAAATAATCAAAAAATAGTCTTTTTACACAAACCTGCCATCTTTTGTTCGCCATGGAAACCTACATGCCTACAATAAAAACATTGTAATGTATAAAATGTAATAATATTTAATATAAATATAACAAGTGATAAATCACTCCAATATATAGGGTGATCGATGTGAAAGCTCTAAGAAAGTTATCGACTAAATTCGAGAAATGCCCCTAGCGGCCAAACGATTACAATTCTGTTTGCGCCAATGATTTTCTCTTTAAAATTGGGCTCCAGACGCCTAGGTCTCTTAAAACAAAGGGTGTTTCTATAAGAAAGTGCCCAATTTTGACCACCATATACAGTTTAACTCATTTGTTTTTGACAATTGAACATTTTTTTTGTTTGCAAATGGTAGAAACACGAGAAAGATGCATGTCGATATGCATAATTACTTCTTATTTGTATTTACCAGACAAACAATTAATGAACGTACTCAAGATTACTAATTGTCTTGTAATTATTCGTCTGATAGTTTAATGAACGTATATAAAGAGCGAATATACCTAAGCATAATCGTCAGTCGTTGTACTTGGTAGAAAAATGAAGGTTCTCCTAATTTTCGCTGTACTATGCATTATGTCGATTGAATCGACAGAGGTATGTACTTTGTTAATCAATTCGCCAATAATCAACTTCTTGTAGATTCACAAATATATTGTGGACAAATGGAGCTCGTTAATGCAACCGCATAAGGAATTTTGCATCAAGGAGTCCAACGTTGATCCCGAACATGTCCACCAAATGTTGCGCAAGGGTTACAAACTGGACGTGCCGCAGTTTCACGAGTATATGAGGTGCATGTACGTTAAATTGGGAATGCTGTCGGAAGAGGGCGAGTTCCAGGAGCTGGAAATACTCAAAAAAGCGGACTACCTCAATTACAATCTTCTCAAAAAGTGTATAAAGCAGGCGACACACGAAAAGAATCACTCCAAAAAATCCTACAAGCTTTGTGAGTGTGTCATCAAAGGATTGGAAGATCCGTGCAGTTATACCGTGTGATACATGTCCATTCAAGTCCAATATAAACTAAGGGGTCTATTCTCTAACGCGTAACGATGTCGTTCAGCAACGACTTTCTCTATTCTGTGACTAGTTATACGGAATATAGCTGTCGTTCAAGATCAAATCGTTACCATTACGATATCGTTTGTTAACGACAATATACAGAATAGATTCTTTAGTTGTGTGTGATCGTAACCAATAGTTACAAATTAGAAACAAACTTAGTTTAAATTAAAGTATAAGTAGGAAAATATCTTCTAAGAGCAAAACTGTTAGCCCTGAACTGTTTGAATAAAATAAAATATGATCGTTAGCCGGAGATCGAGAGATCATGAATGAAGGACATTTGTACTTTTTAATGTTTCGTTTCCATTACCAAGATACAATTTTGTATTTTGGTACAGTTTTCGAAAAACTGTCCAGTTTGGATGGATTTGGTCCGAATTCGAATGTAGCTTAAACTTATAAAAATTGCATCACTCTGTATGCATGTTTTCATTAAATAAAATGGTCTGGAATCAGTTGATATTCAAAGTTTAGGATCTTCTCTAAGTGTTTCAGGACCGAGCTGCGAAGTGCTTAGTTTACCGCCCATCACACAAAGTCCAAATGTTGCGTTAAAACCAATTTAGGTACGGTATACCTACCTAAACAAACTCCGATTGGTAAAGCTCATTATTTCAGATGCAGAGATAATCAGTTTTAGTACCTACTGTTCATCAAGAGAGTGTCTCAAGAACCTTTATGGATTTTGATGTTTTTCTCCAAGGAATTGGTACATAAACAAGGAATTTTAGTATATGGGACAACATATTGCAAATCTATATAGCGTGAGTAACTTAAAAAATATATTTATGGACTCTTAGCACTTTTTGTATATTCTATGTAGAAAAGTTCCCAGTGAAAATGTTGAAAAAATTCCAAAAACCTGTTTCGAAGGGAGGTGGGAACATAAAAATGGTGCACGAACAAACCTTGGTACTCTTGCCCTCTGCACTTCTTAAACCTCCCCTTAAAAAAATTAGAAGGTAACCGGCGGGTGCGATAAGTAATGCTTTTCAATTGTGGGGTGGTATTTTAACAAGAATTTTACAAAATATGTCAATAATCAATAAGTGAAGTCTGAAGAATAATTTTTTTTAATCTCCGCTAGTTTCCGAAATAATCGACTGTCGCAAAATAAATGAGACACCCTATATATAAATTAATTAAGTGACATTCAAATATAAGATATATAAACTGGTAGTCGCAAGGTTTACCGTAACTCACAAAAGAAACGACTGCTGCACCCCAATCCGTCTCGCTTATGCAGGTGCAGTTAAGCCCCAATAAATCATCCCCTGAAACTGATATCTTTTCTAGGCAAAAATGCTTGCTTGAAAAGTATCGAATATTACATGTTTTTATACTCTGACGAAATTTACCCTTTATTGAATTAATTATTTCGCAATATAGCCGATAATTTTTGTATGGTACCTACGTTCTCTCGTGCATATGCGACGCTGCAAAATTTTTTTTCAAAATAGAACTTGGTCTTTTTTCCAAGAAAATTGGTGCTTAAATAACGATTTTGGCATCTTTAGGTTACAAATAATTTGGTCAGCATTCATATAGAACACTTCTTGGGCATCGAGCAATCGAGTTTGGTATTTTTCCCAAGAAAATTGGTGCATTAATAAGGATTTAAATCGAGTAGGTAGAATCCAAAAACGGCTACAGATTCATCCTCGAGCCCGAGCATGAAGGATAAAACTAGTTCCACTCTCCCTCCCCTCAGGCTCTGTCGCTCACTGATCTCGAAAAAGAGTCGCACGGGAAAGGTATAGTTTGTACAAACCAATTTATTTCGATGAGACCTTTCATTAGAATACCATGAAGGGTAGAACATGTGTTTAACCCCCCCCCCCCATTTCCAACCAATTGCTTGTCGTAAATGTAAAAGTTATGCACGGTTTACTTTCAAAAACAACATCTCAGAAAATAATTCGTGGAGGGGCCCCCCTTTTAGACATCGAAATTTGATGGCCGTCTGACACACCTTCAAGGTATATAGGCTACCTACTGCAAAAAATTCCAGGACTCTAGGACCATTCCCCTAGAAGTACTTCAAAACGGTAGAAGTGGATCCCGACGGACTGACGGATGGACGAACGAACGGGCGGACAAAAACCCAAACAACAGCACATTTTTTTAAATTCTTACAAAAATGCGCTAAAAAAACTAGGACGAAAAAGGTTAAACTGGAGGCCTAGTTGGTAGTGGTACAGACGGACAGACGGAGACGGACTTAATGGTGATTCCTCGAAAACGAAATCGGAAGATCAACGGTGTCTTGTAGAGCTCAAAAAATGGCAATGAGAAAGTGTTTTTATTTCTTTGTATCTGTCATCAGAAAAAAATAAAAACGAAATCGGAAAATTTCGGTTTTTTTTTGGCATATCTTCGGAAGTAATCGGAATTTTCTGGTTTTCATTAAAGCATGATAATAACTTTAATTGCGCATCTTTTCTATAATTTGATCATTGTCGTACATATATTCTATAGTTTCCGAGATCCCTGTGATACACACCCTTATTTTGGACACAGTGTATATAGGTGTATCCCTAAAAAAAATTGGTAATTATGACTGTATCAAAAGTCATTTTTGACATAAAAATTAAAATATGTCAAAATGGCTAAATTTAGGCACAAGATATTATTTAAGATGAAACAATATATAGGTATAGGTACAGGGTGGTTCAAATTCGTGGCTCACCATTGGGATTTCCGTAACGGTGAGAGATACAGAGTAAGTTAACGGCAAAGTTTCCCTTTTTTGTGAGTAAAAAAATTCATCTGAAATTTTTGAAAATAACTGAGATATCACTATAAATTTCGTTTTCATTTTCCTTAGATTAAACGGTCGGATATTGTTACTATTATTTTTCCATTTTGTTTATTATCCCGCTCTTGTTGATTCAGCAAGATCTAGTTACCCGTGAATGTTTTGTTGAGAAATGAATATAAAACATTTGATGATGTTATTTTGAATTTTTTTTGTAAATTTATATAAAAGTAGGTATGTGAGTGTGACGTCATTATTTTTCTTTTTTTGTCGTCTATCTCATTCACTAAAAATCCAATATGGCGTCCATAAGAAAGTAGTTAGTACCCAGGGGCGGACTGGCCCGGGGGGCGGGTGGCGATTGCCACCTGGCCTGTACGTCATAATGGCCCGTTGGAAATTTATAAGTATGTGCTGTATTTAGTTTCTTGCACTATTAATAAGTTATTAACACGTTTCTCTAATTGGGGTTGATGTTAGGTTGTTAAAAAATTCTGTTTTAATTGAAGTGTTTTACAATGAATTTATCATTTTTTGTCGTAGCATGAAAGTGATGAAATACAATGATAGGCGACGCGCCTCGTTTGGATTGTATATTTTGTTACTTTTAATTATCAGCTGCAATTTAAAAAAAAACTGTATTGTAATTGATTTCCGAAAAAGGAGTACTTTAAAATGAAGCAAAAAATGTTTTTTGTGTGCACCGCAGAGCTACCCCCCCGCCACCTTCATTACTACACTAATACTTTAATGGCCCGTAACCTATGCAATTCCACCTGGCCCGCCCCTGACTAGAAACCAATTTCGAAAGAAAATTCAAAGGGCTGTAACTTTTGAACTAGAAGCCCAATCTTGGAACTGTTTGAAATTATGGATTCTACAGGCCACATTCTATAAGAAAATTTTTTTTTCCGGGTCGATCTGAGACAATTTTTTTTCGGGGCTCAAAAAAAGGCAGTGTATAACCTTCCTTTTTTACCAAAAATTGACTGCACCAAAATTTCTCGGGAAAACACTTTTTTTTATTAATTTTGGTGCGTAGAATCTAAAACAATTCGTACTTTTTCGATCGGACGTCTCAATCAAAAGTTTTAATTATCAGCTGCAATTTAAAAAAAAAACTGTATTGTAATTGATTTCCGAAAAAGGAGTACTAAAATGAAGCAAAAAAATGTTNCGAGCCCCCCCCCCCCCCAACTTCATTACTGCACTAATACTTCAATGGCCCGTAACCTATGCAATTCCACCTGGCCCGTAAGTACCCAGTCCGCCCCTGTTAGTACCTAGTTTTTCAAAGATTTTTCACAAATTTCAAAACGTTTTTTTAGTCACAAAAATGGGCAACTTTACCCTTATTTAACCTACACTGTATTTCGCAGGGTCGCGGAGATCCCAATGGTGAGTCACGAATTTGAACCACCCTGTACAGTGTTCCATTATCACTTCGGATATATACCTACAGGATGTCTTAAATTGAGTAGGATTGAGGGCTATCTTTCTTATTATTATACTTACAGATTCGGTTAAATTGGTAAAGTTGTGTAGTTTTTTATGCTGATGGATATTCCGATGCGATATTTTGAAAAAACAAATCGTTGCGTAGATAATTGGAAAAAAACGAAAATTGCAATTTTTAAAAAGTTCAAATATTTTAGTAACAAAGAGAGCTATGGAAAAAATTTTCAAATAAAAGTTGCAAGATTAGATTGGATAAATTCAATGGATGTAGAAATTTTTTTCAAAATGGCGGTTTTCGAGATACCGACATCAATTTTTTTATTTTACATGGACGCCATATTCGATTTTTATACTCAGTTTGCTACAGTTTTTTTTTCTGTTTCCAACCATATAGGTATATAACAAGTTATCAATTTATCATATCAATAATAAACATGGGTAAAATTACAATTTTCATTTTTTTTATAGTTGGCCATGGAAACAAAACTAGCATAGAGGTCTAATTGTCATTAATTGGCATTAAAAACTACACAATTTTGCTAATTTAACCGACTCTGTAAATATGATAATAATAAAGATAGCCGCATGTTATCCTACTCAATTTAAGACACCCTGTACAATCGACATTAGCATATTTTTTTCAAATTTTGAAAGTATTTGTTGGTCTCCTTTTCTAGATATGAGATAGCCCACGTTGGTGTGTAAAAATATATAAATGGCATGGCTCGTCGACGCCGTGCACTATGTCCGATTTTGTAAAAAAAAATTGGCAAAATTTTTATTTCAAGATGATGCACCCTAAATGGAGTGTATAAAAAATCCAAATCTAAGCTCTTTAAAATTTTCGACCAGACACTCTTTTCAAATTCTCTTGGACATGTAGCGAAATTAGTCGGAAATTAGTAATTTGGGCGATGGAAGAATGGGTCCATACCCACCTACATGTTGCTAGCTACGCCACTGTATTACATCAGCCGTCTGTAGTGTTATGCACAACAAGAGCGCGTTGTTTTCAAAGGTAAATAAATTAATTATATTTTGAAACAAATAATACATTTATTACTTTCCAATTGATTCATTTCCATCTAATTGTGGGGATTTAATTAAATTTTAATGTTAATTAAATAAGATAAAGTTTATGAGGATTTTTGTTTTGAAACGCACGTAAATAGTTCGAATTCAAATAAATGAGCAATGTGCAATTGATATCGGTTCATCCAGTTGAAGTGGACAAAGAAATGACACAAATGCGTATTTAGAAATATTTATTATAATAATAGGTACCTGAATTGGTTTAAATAAAAAAGGCGTTATCAAAGGTGGCCAGACGTTTTGCGAAACAGCTGCGCACTCGCATATTAGTAATGGCGAAAACCGGCAAACGATGATTATAAATAAAGCAACTTTAGGCCAACTTGAAACCGACCGAAATTAAAAACAAAAAAAAACAAAAGTGAAATTAAGGCGTTACTCCCCACTCCCGATAAAGTTAAGCAAAACTCCCTTTTGTCCCCACCAATTGCTTCCGATCTGAAATCGTACCGAACG